ACAACGCCTGGCTATTTTTTGGTTGCAGCCGTCATTGTTGTTTGGCAGCCCAGGCTGGATTCGAACCTGCCACCTTGGGTGTACATGGCTGGCGCCTTAGCCACTTGAGCCACAGGCACCGAGCCGGGACCACTATTGTATATTTGGCCTGTTACTGACCCAAATGTCTTATATAGCCCATGACTCTATTGAAACCGACTTTGTTTATTTGACTAACTTGTATTTAAGATTTAAAGATGTCTTAGTGTAATTCAGAAAAGCGCTCCTCTTTATTACTCTTTTCAAAAGCTCTCCTGTCTGGAGACCAAGAGATAAGAGGGGCCTGAGAAATGGGAGAAGGTGTTTCTAGGAGGGAGGGGCAGCCACCCCCTGCCAGGGTGTGGAACATAGTCAGGAGTAGAAGCCTGTGGGAATCCAGGCAGTGTGGTTGGGGTCGGGTGCCTTGGCCCACCTGGTGAGTGGTGGAGTCTTGTAATGAGGAAAATGAGTAGTTCAACAAAATGGGCAGTGTTGGATTCTTTGTCAGGGAAAGGAAGCAGGATTGTGTATTGGTGAGAGGAGTCAGTGAGGGGAAAGAAGGTGCAGTTCATCTGGCAGGTGCCCAGGTCAGAGATGGTCTATCAGCAGGGAATTTTGCTGCCAGGTGGAAAAGGTTTTCTTTTCTCCACCAAGAGTTAAGACCTCTATTGTGAGCCATGTTCAAGGTTCAGGGTTAGGGGTCTGAGGAGGGGTGCTGATCTAGATTATTGATTATTGGGGGGGGGGGGCCACAGGAGAGCCAGGGAATGTGTAAGCTGGGCAAGGGTGAGTCCACTGAGGCCCTGGGTAGCACACTTGTGGGTTTTCTGCAGTGGGACCCAGGGTGGTGAGGGGCAGTTGGAAAGTTAGCATACCTCTGTGTGCTAGTCTGTCACGTAGGGCTGTAATTCAGAGCCTGAAATGGAAGAAGAAATATGGTCTTAGTTCCTGCTCATTTATTTAAATTATTATTTCCAAATTTATTCTGAGATACATGTGTATTAAAAAACTCAATTTTAATTTCTTTAGTGGCTATAGTGGCTACGCACACAGTTTTGAGGCCACACAGTGTGCAGTGAGCCACTGAAAGGAGGCCAGGTTCTAATCTCACTGATATCTGTGACCTTTCAGTGGAGGACGAAGAGGAGACGATTGAAGAGGAAGAGGCCAATGAAGGGGCTGTTGACCACCAAGCAGAGCTCTCCCATTTAGCCAAAGAAGGTAGGCTATCAGCATCTTACTAAAAATTGCCTTGTTAAACATAATATAGGTACAAAAAATTTTAAAAATAATGTGTTACGGGTGGTGCCTGTGGCTCAAAGGAGTAGGGTGCTGGCCCCACATACTGGAGGTGGCAGGTTCAAACCCGGCCCTGACCAAAAAAAAATTGTTAAAAAAAATAATGTGTTATACATAATAATAATCTGCCAGGCACTGATGTGACTAGAAGCCTGATTGGAGAACAGCAGCCCTCGCGTCCTTCCTGTTGCCTCCTGCCTCTGCCTTCATATTACTCACGCTCCTCTCCCTACCACCTGCACCACCTCCCTGTACAAACTGCTCAGCTTGCCTGTGTTAGAGCTTTATCTGTCAGCACTCACACTGCAGGTTTATGGCTCCTCTTTCCCTTCAGCTATTATATTCCTGAGTCCCACCCATGTTTTGTCTGTCTTCGCTGCCAAACAACAGTCCATGCGTAAATATGTCACCACTTGTTTTGTACCACTGGTGAATGTTGGACTTATTCCCTGTGTCTGCCTTCACCAACATGCTTCCTGCGCACTTGTCACTTTGTGTATCTTGAGGAGCAGAAGAGCAGGGCTCAAGGACACATTGAAGTCAAAATTTTGCCAGCTTTTTTTGGGAGATAGAATCTCCCTCTATGGCCCTGGTTAGAGTGTTGTGGCATCATAGCTTACAGCAACCTCAAACTCTTGGGCTTGAGCATTCCTCTTATCTCAGCCTCCCAAGTACCTGGCAGTACAGGCACCTGCCACAATGCCCAGCTAGTTTTTCTGTTAGTAGTAGAGATGGAGTCTCGCTCTTGCTCAGCTAGTCTCAAACTTCTGAGCTCAAGCAATCCACTGGCCTTGGCCTCCAAGAATGCTAGGATTCCAGACATGAACCACTATGCCTAGCCTATTGCCAGCTTTTTTAGAGTGGGTGTGCTGAGCTCCACATCTCAGGAACACTCAATATTGTTTCCTTGAAAAGTTTTCCCAATCTGGTGAAAAGTATGTCCTTGTGATTTTTAAGTTGCATTAAAATCTCTCATTATATTTGTTTTTTTTTTGTAGAGACGGAGTCTCATTCTATTGCCCTTGGTAGAGTGCCATGGCGTCACACAGCTCACAGCAACCTCCAACTCTTTTTTTTTTTTTTTTGCAACCTCCAACTCTTTTGAACCACAGGCACCACCCAGCAACCTCCAACTCCTGCTTCATGCAATTCTCTGGCCTCAGCCTCCCGAGTAGCTGGGACTACAGACGCCCACCACAATGCCTGGCTATTTTTTTGTTGCAGTTTGGCCAGTGCCTAGTTTGAACCCGCCACCCTTGGTATATGGGGCTGGTGCCCTACCCACTGAGCCACAGGCACCACTCCAACATTTTTCTCATTATAAAGTGGAGCATCTTTTCATGTTTGTTTCCTCCTTTGTTCTTTGCCCATTGCCCATTTTGATGATGGGTTCTTTTCCTTATCAACTTGTAGGTGTTATTTACATATTCTGGTCATGAATTCTTTGTCAATTATATGTTACAGTGACCTTTCCCATATGCTGATGTGTCTTTTCATTCCCTTTATGGTAACTTTTGATGAAAGGTGTTCTTAATTTTAGTGTGTAGTAAGTCCTCACTCAATGTCATCTATGAAATGGACAGCAGGTCCTTGAATAATATTGTTTCCTTCAACATCTTTTCATTATAATATTGATGAGCAAAAAAATTAGTTTTGTTATACAAGTGAACCTTGAACATTGCAGGGCTTGGGGTGCCTACCCCGCTCATAGTCAAAAATGCACAGATGATTTTTTAACTCCTCCAAAATTTAATGACCAGTAGCCTGCTACTGATTACTGATAATATAAACAGTAGATTAACACATATTTTGTATGGTATATGTATTATATACTGTATTCTTATAAAAAAAAAAGTAAGCTGGAGAAAAGGAAGTATTAAGAAAGGGCTAAACACCATGGAATACTATGCAGCCATTAAGAAGGATGGAGACTTTACATCCTTCATGTTCACATGGATGGAGCTGGAGAATGTTCTTCTGA